TGCTCTGCCCCAGGCGTCCCCAAGTCAGCTTCTGCTGAAACTGACCAGCGCTGACTACAGGAAGCCCCAGGCAGAGTTGCTCTGCCCCGGGCTTCCTGGAATCAGCTGCTGATCAGTTTCAGCAGCAGCTGACTTGGGGACGCCTGGGGTTCTTAAGTTGATTCTGTATGTAAGTCAGAACTGGCGGTCAGTTTCAGCAGTGTCTGAATCTGGACACCAGTTCCGACTTACATACAGATTCAACTTAAGAACAAACCTACAGTCCCTATCTTGTACGTAACCCGGGGACTGCCTGTACCCTATTTCGAAAAAACAAAAGCTGTCTAGATGCAGTTATTTCAAAAGAAAACTCTTCTTTCGAAATTATCCTTACTGCTTATAAAATGACATTTAAGGATAATTTTGAAAGAAGGGTTTTCTTTCAAAATAACTACATCTAGACAGTGTTTCTTTTTTCAAAATAGGATATTTTGAAAAAGCGCCCGTATGCAATTATGCAAATGAAGCACAGGAAATTCAAGTCCGCATTTCATTTGCAATTTTGATCAGCTGCATTTGCATCCCTCTCTCGAAAGAGGAATGAAGTGTAGACATACCCTGAGTGGGGGGCAGGAGAAGGATGTGTCCTTTGTGGTTGAAATGACAAGAAACTGTTTTTTCTTTGTGATCCTGTCTAATATCTGTTTTGTGGGCATTGATCCTTTGGCGAAGTGTCTGAGATGTTTGTCCAATGTACATAGCAGACGGACACTTTCGGCACATGATAGCATAAATTATATTTCTGGATGCGCAGGAATATGTGTTCTTGATCTTATAACTCACTTGGTTAGGTCCAATAATGGTATCAGCAGAGTGAATATGTGGACAAAGTTGGCAACGGGGTTTGTTGCAAGGGAAGGTACCAGGGTTGGTATTAGTGTGGTATGTCCTGTGGTTGTTGGTAAGAATCATCTTGAGGTTAGGTGGTTGTCTATAGGAGACTATGGGTCTGTCTCCCAGAGCCTCTTGGAGTTTAGTATCCTGTTCCAGTATAGGCTGTAGTTTATTGATAATGTGTTGGACAGGTTTAAGTTGGGGGCTGTAGGTGATGACGAGTGGTGTTCTATTGTTGGTTTTCTTGGGTCTGTCTTGAAGTAGTTGGTTTCTAGGTATTCGTCTGGCTCAATTTGCTTTTTTTTATTTCTCCGGGTGGGTAGTTGAGGTTTATAAATGCTTGGTAGAGATCCTGAAGTTTCTGGTCTCGTCAGTGGGGATTAGAGCAGATGCGGTTGTATCGAAGGGCTTGGCTATAGATGATGGATCGTATGGTGTGTGCTGGATGGGAGCTGGAAGCATGTAGGTAACTGTATGAGTCCGAGGGTTTTCTGTAGACGGTGGTGTCTAATTTTCCATTGTTGATTTGTACTGTGGTGTCCAGGAAATGGATCTCTCATGTAGAATGGTCCAGGCTGAGGTTGATGGTGGGGTGTAGGTTGTTGAAATCTCTGTGGAATGTCTCCAGTGTTTCTTGGCCATGCGTCCAGATCATAAAAGTGCTACATAGTCCTATGTTTTGTTACAAATTACAAAGTTTGACAAAGATCACAACAAGTTGCAGTTTAAAACCTTAGACCTTACAATTTGGTGTAGTTTCAGAAAATCCATGTATATAAATCAAGCAAGCTCAGACGGAGGCTTTTTTATGCAACAAGCTTCCCTTTCTCCTCATGAGGAGCAGGAGTACCAGAATAAATTGGAGCACCCTTTCAGTCCAATTTAGTGGGTCTTCACTAGAACCTTGTTAAAGGCTTTCTGAAAATTGAAGTACACTATTTTGTGTAGAATTTGGTAGATTGGTGAGGCATGATTTTACAAAAACCATGTTGTCTCTTTCCTATGTTCTTTTATATGTCTGGCAATATTGTTCTTTATTACAGTTCCAAACAGTTTGCCCTGCACTGAAGTCAAGCTTGCTTACCTGGCTGTAATGTCCAGGATCACATCTGGAGCCCTTTGTAAAGCTTGGCATCATATTAGCTATCTTCTAGTCATTTGACACAGAAGCTAATTTAAATGATAGGTTACACAGCACAGTTAGTAGTTTTGCAATTTCACATTTGAGTTCTTTCCAAGCTCTCGGGTGAATACCACTTGGTCCTGGTGACACTGTATAACTTTCTTTTCCACAGAATAATAGAATTGGAAGGAACCTCAAGAGGGCATCAAATCCAGTTCCCTGCATTCACAGCAAGGACCAAGCACCATCTAGACCATCCATGACAGGTGTTCATCCAACCTGCTCTTAAAAACTCTCAATGATAGAGCTTACACAACCTCCCTAGGCAATTTATTCCAATGTTTAACCACCCTGACAGTGAAGAAGTTTTTCATAATGTCTAATCTAAACCTCCCTTGCTGCAATTTAAGCCCATTGCTTCTTGCCCTATCATCAGAAATTAAGAAAAAAAATTCTCCCTCCTCCTTGTAATCTTTTAGATACTTGAAAGTGCTATCATGTCATTTCTTTCAGCCTTCACTTACAGATCTTGTTTTTAGACCTTTAACGTTCTTGTTGCTCTTCTCTGAACCTTCTTCAATTGGCCCACATCTTTCCTGAAATATGGCACCCAAAACTGAACACAATACTCCAGAGTGGAGTGGAAGAATTACTTTCTGTATCTTGCTTACAAAACTCCTGTTAATACATCACAAATGCATATTTTACATTGCAAGTTTAAAATTTGTAATCTTTCATTTTATCTTGTCTGTAGAAAAATTCCCTCTATGGAATTACATTCTTAATAGTAGGTCATGATATTTACAATTACTTTCCCTCCCAGGTCAGAACTTGAAAAACTGAATTTACAATAGATAGTATAATAATTCTAGTTAAGCAGTTTATTTGATATTCTTTTATTCACTTAGGGTATGTCTACACTACAGTGCTAATTCGAACTAACTTAGTTCGAATTAGTTAATTCGAACTAAGCTAATTCGAACTAACGCATCTAGAACTAAAAACTAGTTCGAATTAGTGTTTTGCTAATTCGAACTAGCGCGTCCACATTAAGTGGACCCTGAACCGGGCTTAAGGATGGCCGGAAGCAGTGCCGGCAGGGCATCAGACGAGGACTTAGAGCGTGGAGATGCTGTCTCAGGCTAGCCGAGGGCTGTGCTTAAAGGGTCCCGACCCCCACCCCAGACAGACAGTTCTCAGGGGTGCCCCGCTTGCAAAGCAGTCCTGGCTTGGAGTGCCCTGAGTGCCCACACTGGGCACATCACAGCACTCGGCCATCAGCCCGGCTGCACTTGCCGCAGGCTGCTATCTGGGGAGAGGGGGCAATTGGGGGGCTGCAGGAGAGCTTCCACCCCCAGAAGCCCGCAGAGCCAGCCCAGTCCTCCCCATCGGGGGCT